CTCTGGAATGTCATGTTCATCCAAAGGAACATTATTAGTAATACACATATTATGTAAAACTATACATGCATTTATTATTGATGATGCTTTTTCTGGTTTATAATGTAAAGTTCTATCTTTTAATAAGCATCTATAAAAAAAAAATATTTGGTGTTAAAATTGTATATAATATGGACATTAGAAACAGATTTAGGTACCTAAATCGCATTTTCAACACCCCGTTGCAACGTTCAATTAGACTTCTGGTTGACATTTGTTTTTGGTTGTAATATTTTTCAGGGTTTGTTGTAGGATTTGTAATTGGTGTCAATAGCCAAGGACGTAAGGGATATCCAGAATCACCTAATAATATTTTTAAATAAATATATTATTAACTAGAAACAATTTATCATTTATATTTCAAATACAATGTTGAGAGTGTATTTTACCTAATAAATAAAAGTTATGATGATTGCGTCTGTGTAATTCCTGCATTACTGGTAAAACAGAACTATTGTTCCATATATGGGTGTCGTGTTTACTGCCAGGAAATAGTGCGTTCACATTTAAAACTCTTAATTTTGAATCACAAATCTAAAGTTGAGTTTAAATATTTATTTATTTAGTTATACAATATGCATACACTTACACTGTAACCTTAAAATATTTAATACATACTAAAAAAATAAGGTTTAAAAGATTACTTACCAATTGGACATTTATGGAATGATATCCTTCACGGTTCACATAAATGTATTCGGGATTTTCATTAAAATTAAAATTATTTGAAGGAGGTACAATCGCTACGTGAGTACAGTCAATACATCCTATTACTCCGGGAAATCCAGTTTCTCTATAAAAACTGTAATAATATTGGACATCTTATTAAATATTTATTAGAAATTTTCGAAAGAAAATTTAAAAGTTACCCATTACGGATTTCAGTCAGCTCATTCAGGTTACTAGGAAACTTAACCCATTTGTCAAATATTTCTGGCCGGTTTAGTGCCTCTACAACTTCACTTATACACCGAGATACAGACGGTTGTGATAAGACTATAAACTTACTATTACCAGTTGGAGACTGGTATGATCCAGTAGCCAAAAAATTAAACGTTACTAGAATCTAATATATTTACACAATAATATAATGAAAAACTATGAAAAATAACTAGTGTCGGTCGGGCTAATGAATGTGCCGCTTTACAAAAAATTGATTATTAATTATTTCAAAAGAAATTTTTTTTGGAAAAAATTAATTTAACTTACCGTAAAATGAGGATACTTTGCACCAAATTTCTTGTTTTTTTAACTTAAAACATACACTGCTACTTTAATAATTAGGATATAATATTGCAATTTCCACAGTTTTCTAGCTATGAACATAAGGAATGTAAAGTCGAAGTTTAAATTTGATTAACTTAAAAAATAAATTTATAGTTTTTTTTTTAAATTTTGGTGCAAAGTTATATGTCTGTTGGGGTGACTTTGCACCACTTACAATTTTACCTTGAAATATCATAGATAATCAATTCTGGTGCAAAGTAAGAACTTTGCCGATTTTTTTCAAGCACGGTTTGTTGTAAATGATAACGTTCCTTATCACGGACACATATTTTCGAGGGAAATCCTGATACTGATAATAAAATCGGTTCCAATCATTAGTTATGAAGTTAGGAACAAGATTTTTTTTAAAATCGTTTCATACCTAAATTAGTTTCCAGGTTATGACAATTAATAACAAAAAATTATTTTGGTGCAATGTTGACCCCCCTGGTGCAAAGTATCCTCATTTTACGGTACTGTTTTACTAATGTCTAATAGTAAAATAAATTACTTTAATCACAATAGCATCAAAAATACTTATTAACATTATAGGCTGACTTAAAAAATAAGGAAGAATCGCAAGTAAAATAACATTTTTTTTTTTTTATTTCTTTCCTATTTAATTAAGGCCCCAATAAATAAAAATACATAATGGCCCCCGGACGATCACTGTAAGAAACATCAAATAGAGTATAATTTATTCACTAACTTTTGTATTTAAATCAATAGCAGACAGGCGGCTTTTTGAAACTATATATGGTCGTAAAAGTTCAATTAAATACTTTACAAGGTCTTTAGTAAGTCTACAATTTTTTATGAACAGTCTATCTGATGTATCAAATGGATCCGAAATTATCTCTTTCTTTCGTGTTTGTCGTACATTCATTGCGCGTTCATGCTCTTCAATATTTCCAATTGCAAATAACATTACCATTTCATCAAAATTTGCCATTTTAATAGAAGAAAGGAAATTAATAACGGATTAATACAAAGTAATTTACAAAACACAAATTGATGATCGATGAGAATCGGTAATAATATTTCTGTATTCTGTTGTAATAGTTGTATAATCAATAATATAATCAATAATGTGAAAATTGTTATCACATTTCATACATTATCATGCAACTAAAGTTTGTCACTGATTTATACCCAGTAGACAAACAGTCGAATGTTTTTCATTCGACTAAATTCATACATCTTTTCAAGAATACCAATTATTTAATATTTTGCGATATAATTTTTATCGCATGAAAATAAATATTTGGTATTCTTGAAAAGATATATGACTTTAGTCGAACGAAAAACATTCGACTGTTTGTCTACTGGGTAAAAGTCGGTGACAAACATTAGTCGCATGATAATGGGTGATATGTGATGTAACAGTTGTATAGTTTCAAATAATTGATAATCGTTTTCCGATAAATTCATTTTTAAATTACAAATAATGAAGTTTTAAACTTTTAAGTGTTTTAAGTATATGATAAATTATTAAATTAATGACCTTTGATTTTATACAATGGCTAACTTTGACGAAATGGCTATGTTGTTTGCAATTAATAATGTCGAAGATCATGAACATTTACTTAAAGAACGACAAACGCGAATACCTGAAATGATTTCGGATCCATTTCTTCTAACAGATCGATTGTTTATAAAAAATTTCAGATTTTCTAAAAATCTTGTTAAAAATTTAATTGAACTTTTACAAACTCGCATAGTTTCAAAAAACCGTTCTTCTGCAATTGATTTAAATACAAAAGTAAGTGGATATAATATATAAATTTATATTATATTTTATGACTTTGTAGGTTGTAAATAGTGTTGATACCTAAACATAGTTATTTATTTTCTATATTTATTTAGATCTTAGTTACATTAAACTTTTTGGCTACTGGCTCATACCAGTCTCCAATTGGAAATAGTCGATATGCAGCTTTATCACAACCAACTGTATCACGTTGTATTAGCGAGGTTGTAGAAGCACTTAACCATCCACAAATATTCAACGAATGGGTTAAGTTTCCAAAAAACCTGAATGAGATCACAGAAATCCGCAATGAGTAATTCATTCAATTAATTTCAAAAAATGTATGTATTTATTTTCTAATAGGTAATAAGTTCATTGTTCAATAATAAAGGTTCTACAGAGAAACTGGATTTCCAGGAGTTATTGGATGTATTGATTGCACACACGTGGCAATTGTATCTCCTTCGACCAATCTAAATTTAAATGAAAATCAAAACCCTGAACATATCTATGTAAACCGTAAAGGATATCATTCCATAAACGTGCAATTGGTAATCTTTCAAACCTTATTTTGTGCTATTTATTACATTTGTGTTACTTATTTAAATAAATAATAACAATCAGTGCCACTTCTACAAGTTCGGGACCTTGTGTTAACATAACTCCCAGGTTGGGGGATAAGCCTCTAAAATTAGTTTTCATTTTTGGATCTTTTTTCTTAAGGATTGCTAATATAATATTATACATTATAGGTAGTACTAATAAAGTGTGTGTTTTTTCAAACATACCTCTTTAAATTTTGTTATTATACGTATATATAAAAAAAAAAAATTTTGTTGGGCAAATTTTTTAATGCATAAAATAAAGAAATTTATTCTTGTAATAAATAATAATATCAAGAATGTTAGGGGGCTAAAAAACAAAGGATTCCTCCTGAAGCTTAAATGTGTATTTAAATAAATAATAATTTTAATTCATCTCAAATTTAGATTTGTGATTCAAAATTAAGAATGTTGAATGTTAATGCACGATTTCCTGGCAGTACCCATGACACATATATCTGGAACAATAGTTTGGTCTTACCAGTACTTAAGGAACTATACAGACGCAATTATGACAACTTTTATTTATTAGGTAAAATAATGTGTTCTAAAGTGTTTAAACACAAGTATTTGAATACTTGAATTTAAATATATTTGTGGTGATTTTAAATACTTTTATTAAAGTAATTAAGACACTGTTCTAAAGTTCATTTTTAAAGAATTTTGCCTAATGTGTTCTAAATAATGATTTATTTGTACAAAGAATATCAGGTGATTCTGGTTATCCCTTGCGGCAATGGTTGTTGACACCTATAAGCAATCCTACAACAGATGCTGAAAATTTTTTCAATTCAAAACAAATGTCAACGAGACGTATTATTGAACGTTGTAATGGGGTGTTAAAAATGAGATTTAGGTAACAATGGTTTTAAATTTTATTGTTTTACATAATTTTTACCAAATAACTTTGTTTTTTTAAGGTGCTTATTAAAGGATAGAATACTACATTACAAACCGGAAAAAGCATCGTCCATAATTAATGCGTGTGTAGTTCTGCACAATATGTGTATCTCAAATAACGTCCCTATGATATATGAACAAGGTATTGAGGAACATGACAATTTGGGTATGCTGGGAGACCTAGAAATATTAGCAGATAACAATCGCAATATAGAGTTGACTCTTGGTAGCAGGGCCGAACTTAAGGGTCTCAGGGCCTCAAGGCAGCTATTAAAGAAGGGCCCTTTTAAATATATATTAATAAAAACTGCTTTTAATTTGTATATATTCAACATACTAATAGATAAAACAAATACTATATCCACATACCATTGTCATAATTATAAAATAAATATATGTATATAAATTAAACATAAAATAACAGATTTATAAAAAAAAAATGATTAACAAATTTGTACACGTCGAGCTTTTTGTTCTGCGAAAGAACGTATCACTTCACTGTAGTCCACTGCTTGCATTACTTCTGACTCAATGTATAACACGGTGACTGAAGTAAGTCTTTTTTCCTCTGTATTTGATCTTAAATAATTTTTTATTCTTTTAAGAGCCGAAAATGACCGTTCAGCTGAGCAGTTTGATACAGGGGTACTCAACAGCATCCTAAGTGATATTCCTATATTTGGATAAATGTCTATAAAACCGTTTTCTAAAATAAATTTATATAGCTCCAGTGATGACATTTTTTTTTCTTTTGTAGCTTCTGTGGATAACAAATGAGCTTGTAAATGCAAACATTCGTTTTTTATATTCTCGTCCAAATCCCCTGGATAAAAGTCTTTTAGATTAAATGCTCCTTCGCAAACTTCTTGAGTATTTAAAATATTGAGCTTTGTAAGAAAGTCAAACTTATTACTTAATTTTTCATAAGCTGTGCCACGTCTCTGTAGTTCAGTAATCAACCTGTCAATAATTACTTTATAGGTGGTAACTCTGAATCTATTCCTGCCTGAGAGTTCGGTATCATTTCTTTTTACTTCATCAAACTGTACTTTTCGTTTAGGTTTTCTTTTCAAATCATATGTATAGTTTTGTTCACCACTTAACTCTATAGCTCTTGATTCATAAAGATCGAATATTCCGTCTTCTCGTTTACCTTCAAGATACGTAACTAAAGAATGATACAGTTCAACAACAGTACCTAGTCCAATGTCTACAGATTGCAGAGATTTGCTCACTTTATTAAATCTTTCAAGTACATCATTCCACATTAAAGTCAGAAAACATATTTCTAGTGAGCCAAAGCAATTAAGAAGACTCGAAGCCTCAAAACGCGTCGATGGTTTTTCACTCATGTCATTGGCGATGATCTTAAGAGCTTCCATGATTTCGATCCAGGAAATACAAAGACTTTTACAAGCATCGCCTTGAGCAGACCACCTTGTCTGAGAAAGGCTTTTCAAAACTGTTGAATTTGGCTTCAGTTTCGAAACTAACAATCCCCATCTGTGTGTCGAGATCGAAAAAAAATTGTACAATGCTTGCAAGTTACTGAAAAAAGATATAGCTGCCTCACAAGATTTTTTTTCAATAAAATAAACATTTTTAATCTCTGTTATTGTTTGAAACTAAATAGTCACGTCGGCTTAGATGAACTGGATATATTTAACTAACATGCTGACTTAAATATATCGTATAATTTTTAAAGTTAAAATCGTTTTGTAGGTATAACGTATGAGAATAAATTATTACTGATTTATATTATGAACAGCTATATTATTGTACTTACGTAATTTTTCAGTTGACACCAACACGGCAACACGATCGGAGTGTAAATGAAAATTAAATCGTAATAACTGATAATCGTACCCCTGGCTTTCAAAACAAATTATTTATAACTTTATGTACCATAGACTATTGGTTTTGATGTAAAGATAAAGATAACGCCGTGTACCAGCTGAACTGATTTTGCATGCGATCTGGCGAGCGGGCGACGCGATAATAATTATTCACTATTTTAAGAATGTTAAGTGTTTACGGCTATACATTTATTTACGGGTTTCGGCTATAAATATAATCGAATAGAAACAAATAAACACTGATAAACACCGCAAAATGTATTTATTTATGTTTATATACGGTTCCATAAAACTAAAACACAACATAATAATATTAATTTCTAAATTACTTCCTCTCAATAATATTCTATATTATACACGAACTATTTTCCGTGTTAATCAATTTATGTGTGTGATACCTTTTTTTTTTGTGTGTGTTTCCCTGAGGGCCCCAGAAAGGCAAGGGCCCTGCTTGGGAGACAATAGCGAGATAAAGTTGCAAGATACTTATTTCATAGACATGGTGCATAAAATAAATAAGCTTCTATTGTATTTAAAAACATGCATACTTTTTATTCTTAATAATAAATAAATACAAGAAAGATTTGTTATTAAAAAATACTTTTACAATGTTTTTTATTCCTTCCTTTGGTCATTTGTTAAAAAATATAAGTAATAATATTAAATAAAAAAACAATCTTTAGTAATAACAATTTTTATAACTAATTATAACAAATAATAAAATAATACCCTTTTTAACTAATTTCTTTGGTAAGGTTAAGAATTAAAGTTTTTATAAAATATAGTTCAGTCTTAAAAGTTCTATTTTCAGTCATTTTTCTGTTAACTTGGTCAGTAATGTTCCAAGAGTGGTTCCAAGGTTTTTCAACAACACATTATTTTCTTCCAAAAGTTTAATTTTTTTTTCATAGTAAACTTCTTTTAGATCACATTTCCTCTGTGCTATATTTCCCAACGTAGTTGCAGCTGTATTGCTTTCACCCAAACAAGCAGCGGTAGTCTTTTTTATTTTTAGATCTATAATAAAATTAATTTAATAATAATAAAAAGAGTCTATTATTGAATATATGGAGTATAGACTGTGAGATTATAAGTTATGTATTTATGTAGGTAGGTATATTCATAGGCATAGTTATGAAGGATTTAAGTGCGACTTAAATTATATAATTTGTAAAAGATAAAGATATAAAATCCATTGTACATTGATGTGGTATAAATTTGCAATAAATGTTGTAATCAAAATTTTAATAAATTAAAATAATAATAGGTATTTTTGTAAATAATCAATTTAATAATTCTATAATATGTAAAAATATCTAATAGTTTTGATGTGGAATTGAAGAATTTATTTTATAAAAATAAATTATCCTTTATTTTTTAAAATTACATTTTCCTCCTCCCCCTGGAAAAAGTCTGGGGACGCCAATGTGCCTAAGTGAGGTATGAAAAATAAAAACTAAACATTTTACCTGGTTTAGGTTTAGAAGCAAAAATTGATGCCTGTTCTTTTTGGGATTCTCATTGACTCTTCACTCTTGCTCAGTGATATCTGTGTAGTAACCCGTCGCTCTCACTTGATTGGTTACTGCACACTTCTTTAACGACGAATGCACGTACACGTCGTCGCAATGAATTGGAGGATGGTGGTTGAAGTGAAGGTAGATTAAGAATGTTTAATACAAAATGTAGTTAATTATAGATATAATGTTTATTAACACGAAACTAATAATATAGTTAATTTTAAGTTAGTTAAAATTTGTCGAGAGAATAATAATTCTACCGGAGAATAGTTGTAATTTAAATTATACTTGATGTGGACGGCAATGCGGCTGTTTCTAGTCCGCGACCCATACAAGTATTGTAAAGCACTGGTAATTACTTCTATGTCTGAAAAGTCTGTGAAACAGGGCCCTTATTTATATGAGACATGCCCGGGATTTAGGAAAGGATGATTGACGTCATAGGAATGGCGTGATGCGTAGTCGATCAGTATTAACCAATGAGGCGGCAGCCTCAGTGGCCTATTTTGGTGGCGTGATGTTGTTCAGGCCACCTAACCTTTAGAACGCCGTTTTTGTGTAAAAACGTCGGTTTACTACATTCCTTCCTTGTAAGAATGATACTCCGTATCATAAAGATGAAATGGTTGGATACACGGAATATGCCGTGCTCCGTGGTATTAGGGCTTCCTGCTTGATTACGTCTCTCGGCGTGTATGTCCGAAACTTCCTTTGGATCTAGTAGTAGAAGCACCTCACATATGTTGCGTACACTTCTAGGATGTAAAGGATATATTTCAGGATACATGAGGAACTCACTGACATGTTTACATTGACTTCTATCGATTTCGTCATAGGTGGAATACATTTCTTTTGATTTACTTATAGCTAAATACTTATGATTAGGTTTTACATATAACAATTATTTTGGTCACAATTTGGTATTGGTATTATCTGAAAAAGAGTTAATTCATGTTGGTATACATGTTGGTAAAATAAAAACTTCGTAATTAAATCCTTATCTACGTTATTGTTATTTTATACCTATTTATTATTTATAGACTTTATTAAAATTATTATAATAATTAATAACCTTATTTTTTCCTTTTTATATGTAATTGGTTAACTTAATATGTTTTCACCTATGATAATAATATAACAATGAATAGTTTATGGCTACTTATAACAATAAAAGAAAATTGAAGGATCCTATAGCTAAAAATATACATATATATTATGATTTATGACACTGAAGTGTTCATAAATCGGTCTCGAAATATTTTTTTGTATCATTCACGTGGATCCTATAGTCCTTCCTCCCCTTCTTAATTGTTATATTTTCATTGTTATGTATCATTATTATTTCATATGGACCTGTCCAATTTAAACATAACGCATTCTTTTTGTTATGCTCCTTTAATAAAACCTTATCCCCTACGTGTAACTCGAGTGGATTTGCACTTTGGTCGAAGTATAGTTTATTCGTACTTTTCTTTTCAATTAAGTTATCCCTAGCAGTCTGATGTGTTTCCTGCATTACTCGTTTCATAGTCGTCATAATTATATTGTGGCTCCGGCGCCTGTACAAATGCCGAAGGAATTATCGGTTTTTTCCCGAAAACCAACTCATATGGTGTGTATTTCGTTGATGTGTGTACCGTAGTGTTATAACAAAACATCGCGTAGCTAATTAGTGTGTCCCAATTGTTGCCTTTGTCTACGAAACTTCGTAGATAAGCCTTTAATGTTTTGTGAGATCGCTCAAGATATCCATTAGACTGTGGGTGCCACGGTGTTGTTTTAATTTTTTCGATTTTTAGAATTTTACACACGTCTTTAAATAAATTCGATAAGAAGTTCGTCCCGCAATCCGTTAGGATTGTAACCGGTATAGCGTATATGCATATAAAACATTCCACGAAAGCTTGCGCTACCGTGGCTGCGTCTGTCGAGGCCAATGCTATCGCTACACCGTATCGTGATAACTCGTCTTGTAAAGTTAATATATACGCGTTACCCGCGGTAGTTATCGGAAGGGGACCAACTATGTCTAAACATACTTTATGAAATGTTGTGGTCACGGTCGACGTGATTAACATAGGTTGTTTTACTTTTTTGGACGATTTATTTTTCTGACAAACGTTACACTGTTTAATATAGCCTGCCAAGTCTTGTTTTAAATTTTTCCATTGATATTTTAATTTTAGACGTTTTATGGTTCTGGATATTCCTTGGTGACCCCCTACTAATGTATCGTGATATTCTTTAATAATTTGATTTTTCTCGTCATCGGTAAAAAATTGTTCCTTATAAATAGTTACTGCTATATCAGTGTTTCGGAATATGTAACGAAACATCGTGCGTATGCGCTCGTAGCAGGTCAACGTTGTTAACCCTTCTAGCCTGGTAGTCGAGAATTGATTAATTTGTTTTTCAATACAATATATTTTAATCTCTTTAATAGCGTCGTAATAATTCTCGGCGTTAATTGTCGTATAATGATTATTTTTAAGATTGTAGAATATTACTAATTTGTCGGTTTGTTCAATCGAAACAAATTTATTATTATCATTAAAAATTACCTGCTGTGGTAAATCGTTATTGTTTATTACATCTCTTATCGCTGGATGCGTTATTATTTTATCATTCGAAATAGGTAAAATTATATTTTCATTATTGTGCGCGTGTTTTATACTTCCCTCTATTTCAGTTATTTTGGAATTAAAAATCGGTTTAGTTTCTGCTTTTTTAAACTCTTCGAAATCGCTAATTGGCTCATCATTGGTAACAACATGTATACGTGATAAGCAATCCGCGTTCGAATGTTGTGAGCCTGCTCTATAGATTATTTCGTAATCGTATTCCTCGAGCTGTAATCGCCATCGCATTAACTGAGACGAAACGTCTTTTATATTGAATAAATACGTTAATGGACGGTGATCGGTGATTATTTTAAATTTTTTCCCGTATAAGTAAGGCCTAAAATACTTTACAGCCCATACTATCGCTAACAATTCTTTTTGTATT